GTAATTACGGCTGCCTCTGACTTCCTCACCCTCCAGGAGTTGACCCGCTGCTGCCTAGCTCTCCCTTTCCATCCATTTTGTTTCCCTTTCTGGGTCCTTTCACAGTGCCGGTTTAAGCAACTGCATCTCAAGAGGATGAGGTCCTCAGAGTCTAATTGGCCTGGATGACTTTGGTTTGGTTTCTCTCTCATTTTGTTGCACATCGTGTCCAGCCCGGGAAAGCGAGCAGGGCAAGTGATTTGTTTGTAGAAGCAAGGCTGATCCCGAGTGCAGTGCAGTTTCTGCCCATTTGCTGTGTATCTATGTTCCAAACACGTATCACCGAAAAATGATCTATCCTACATTGGCTCATCTTGTATTTATACACTCAAGAGGGGGTAATTTGTCTTTTATCCCCACATTTCTAGTTATCTCCAAATTTAAGCTGTATACCTGCTTATACAGTATGTGGTCTTTGCCACTTAGCATTTCAGGGTGTAATTTCTTTTAGAGAGGGAAATTGCCTTTGCAATGTACTCAGATCAATCCAAGCCACATTTGAGGGCTTCACTTTGACATCCCCTGCAGCTGGTATGTGCCTGCAGAAAGGTGCGCCTGGTTGAGCAGAAACATGTGTACAGCTGTTGGCAAGAGTGGTGCCAGACATTGGTGCTTTATTAATTGCCTGTAGAAAGGCAATCGGCTATACCTCCAGACACAAGTGGCCAGCTAGTTTGGAGGGAGTGCAAAGGAAAGCACTCCAGGGAAAAAGGCCGGCAGGATGGTTACCTCCTCCTCATTTATTCTTTCCATGGCTATTAACATGCTTGGCTGATAAGCAAATTAAGTCTCTCAACTTCTTTGAGGCTGTGATCTCTGGCTGGTGGTGGAGTTTGAGGGTCAAGCAGCATTTTCCTTTCTTGTGCATCAAAATAAATAGCTCAACAGGCCAAACTAGTTGGGCTAGGGTAATGAAGGTAAATTTTGTTTCTGCATGAGGAATTCACACAGTTCTCTCTTGAAATGGTCATGGGGAAATACTGTTGGATTTAATCTCTCCTAAAGCTCTGCTAAGACTCCAGTAGAACTGGAAGAAACAAAAAACTAGTAACAAGTTCATGGCACCAAATTAATAAAACAAAACTGGAAGGAGATCTATTCTTTATGTTTAAAGTGAGCAATTTCTTATTATCCACAATCAATCTACCTTCCATTGGCACTTTTCACTGCACAGATGAGCACCTAAAAATATACAAAGTGACTTCTCAGAATAGAACTGTGCTTTAATACTCTGGAAAAAAGGATTGCTTTATGGGAAAAGGTGACAAGAACCACATACTTATTGCTTAGCTGCTAAGTGGAGAGCATTGAGAGGTGCCAACATGTATCAGAAAGCTGTAAACACCAGGGAAGAAGACACATTATTTCTCTTGAGTTAAGAAGATCTGAGCAGAAGTCATGAGGCAAAGGAGAGATCATGTACGCTATAAAATAGTATCCCGTGGGACACAGTGAAACACCATCTCTCGAGACACTTAAAACTAGCCTGGGCACAGCCTGCGTTGGCAGAGAATTGCTTAGGACAGCTGTCTTCTGTTCGAAGGACCATAACCAAGCTCCCAGTACCCGGGGGGATTTCTGTGGGACTCGGGTCACAGCTCCGTTAGGCTTTAATGACAGCCCCCAGCGGGACATTTGCCTTTTCCACCCTCAAGTAGCCATGGCTTATGTTTTGTACCTGCTCTGGCCGTCAACACATCTGACCATGAAGCCCGCCTCTCTGCACTGGTTCCTCCCATTGCAGCAACTCCAGGACCGGTGGCAACTGCTTTTTTACACTAACAAACACCTGAGCAAAGGATGGGAGTTCTTTTTTCTCTCTTGAAATTTTAGAAAAAAAAATCAAGACTTCCTGACTGCTCTGGCGCTGGAAACAGTTGAAAAATACTGGTGTGTCTCTTTGAAAATACCCCTCTCAGTTCAGAGCCTTTCTGAGCACTTTCGGAAATTGCAGTTACCTTTTCTCTCTCCTCTGCATCATAGTTGTCCGGAAAGACAGGTTTATTCTGATTTTCCTCGTTGATTTCTCTCTCCTCCAAATAAAACTGCCACTTGGCTTCGAAGTAAAACCAGTGCTCCTGATATTCTGAATGCAAAAGAAATTAATGATGTCATATTTAATCTTGGCAACATTTCCAGTTCTACTTAAAGACATTTTAAAGAAAATGACAGTATTGACTGACCTGAAAAACTGGGTATTTTACAGTAACATACATTAAACAGGCATAGGTACTAAGTATGCGTTTTAATATGAAGTGGGACATGTAACTGGAAACAGAAAATGTGAAAGAAGAAAATATTTTCCGAATCTCATGCTGGTTTTATGATATATTAAAATTACATCAAGATACATCACGATGAGATTTTTAGAGAACTTACTAAGGAATACTCCAAGGAAAAGATAAGAGTCAATAAAAAGAGAAAACCAAATCAATTCTATGCCAATTTTTGTATTCCTTTACTATGATTAAAGAATATCTAAAAATGCTTACACATCCTAAATAAAAATTACCTCCTACCTCAGTTATCAGTTTTTAATGACATAATTTCTCTAGTGTTTCTGTTCCACTCTCACAGTATTTCTGTGTGATCTTTCAGGAAAAGGTGGATAGGAAAGGCCAAAATTTCCATTTGCATCTATTATAATACATATCAAATGTAGTAAAAGGGATAAATAACACACACATCTGCTATCTGTGCCCATACAAATAAGCCTTTTTTAATAACCACAGGTCTTTCTCCTTTTTCTGTCACTTTAGGAAGAGCATCTCTAATCATGTTCACATGTGTAAATAATCTTATTAAATTCATTTTATTTTCAAGCCAATGCTCTGGTTCAACCTTTTTATAAAGGCCTAAAAAGGCATGTAAGTCACACCAACCTGTTAAGCACATACATACACACCTGTCTGCAGAACTGAGGCCTGAGTGAAACCCTGCCTGGGAAGCCGATGGGGTAAGGAATAAGAAATCAGTGAGATGGACCAGATGGCTAAGCATGCCAAGGCAAACTAGCAATTCAGTATGGGACTATTGGCATACAATTTAAAATAAAATTAAGCGTCGCTGTTTTCCCCTGGCTCTGTCCTGCTTGGTTGCTCCATTGTGTGCTGGAAGTGGCTGAGGAGCATGCGCACGACCAAACCATTTCATTGAAGGATGTAATCTGATTTTGCTTCTTTTCCTAAAATGCCATACAGGTGTCCCTCTTTGGCAATTAAGATCTTTAAAATGGTTCAACTCCATGTAAGAAACTCCAAGCTGCCTTGTAGGACCCGATACTTTCACAAGGTTGCCAGTTCCCCAGCCCCAGACAGGGATGAATCTTCAGCCACGTGGCCCTATATACCTGGGAATGCCCAGCTGCCCTTTTTCTGAGTCCATGCCCCAGTTTTGCCTGATTACAAGGAAGCCATTCATTATAACCCTAAAAAAAGGGGGGTGTTTAGAAAAACAGGGTGAAAGTGCACTCACAGCCGTCAGGCCAAGGAGGGCATCTTGAGGAAAAAAAAGTCACACAAAGAAAATGCTGGTTGAAGCAAACCACTGACACCCATTCCATCAGCTGGTTACAAGACTGCTATTAGAAATGCAGGTGACCTGACAGGTGTCCGTCTTTGTGGGTTTTTTCCCTATTTCCCCCATGACCATAAAACATGAATGTCTCAAAAATGAATGTTTTCTATGCAACACCTCAACAAGCAAGGAAGTGCAATTATTCCAATGCACAGGCGCAGAAACAAAGGGATCAAGCAGTTGCAGGAGATTTTGATTGTGTGGACGATCTGTAGCAGGCTCAGAAAACTCATGTCGCCAGCGCTGGTGAGGCTCGGCCCCATCGCCTGAGCCCAGCCTGAGACGACGGTCACGTTCAGGTCCATGGGACTATCTGGCAAGTAATTGCAATGGAATATCAGAGATGGGTGCTGAGTCGAGCCCTGTGCGACTGAACACTGTGTTTGTTACCCATGGAGGATAACGCAGCTGAAAAAGAGTTTTCTAAAACTGGAGGACTTTGTCTGGCAGGATTTTTTTGCAGTGCATCTCACCAGCCAAGGAGCTTAACTTTAATGCAGGAGACTTTTCCCACTACCAAAATAGGACGAAGCTCAACAATATGGGCACTAGCTGGAGAGCGTGCCTCAGGAGTCCAACGCGCATACCTCCACACCAAGAGGTCCTGCTGGGGTGGAGTGACAGGGACCTGCTGCAAAGCCACTCAGAGAGGAGCTCACTCACGCTAATCCTGCACCTGCTCCTCATAGGTCTTGGCTAAAAAAATCCTGGTGCGCAATGAGGCGCAGATGAAAATGCGGGGTCTTTCAGAAAGGCTCCCTGGTGCTCCTTTCAGATTTTAAAGCAGCAGCTTTCCTTCTCAGGTAAATCTTCATTTCTGAGTGCTCTTGAGTAAAGATTTCCATTGAATTCAATCTTTCTCAACGGCCATCTCTTGAGACTAACAGAAAAACCTCTTTCCTCGACGTTTTAATGTAATGATATTTGTCTGTCCATAGCAGGTCTCACCATTACAAATGCATCACTCCCTGGCAAGACGGGACTAAAATACCTTTGCCCTGAAGATCACATACGTAACTAAAGTAGCAATATCAAGTTCAGTAGTTGTGTTACGCTCAGTTGTTTTAAAACAAGGATACAACAGGTTGAATCTTAAATATTTGTTCAGAAAAGCAGCTAGTCAAGTCTGAATTTGTGGTCAAAAGCTGACTCGTGGTCAGGAGGCATCTGCAAGTGAACTTCTCCTGGCAAAATGAGGAATGTCAGTGGGTTTTCTTATGGAAAATATTGGACTGTGCTAATTGATGGAAGGGAGCAGAATAATTCATATCTCAGCAGTCAGTTTGCCTAATAACCTGCTAAATATCATTTCCTCCCTCCCCCCCCGCCCAGCAATCTTTGAAGACTTTCTAAAAATAAAACTGTGCAGTAGGGCATTATCATCGCTATTTCTCTTTGTATTTTTGCCACCAATACACCAGGCAACTAACGGATGGTAGAAGAAAGTGGCACCACCTGCAAAGAGCGTACAGTCTGAGCAGAGAAAGCAGGAGGACAGCCTGTGGAGGAGGGGAGGAAGCAGCAAAATGGAGAGACTGGGGAGTGACATTTCTTCAGTGTCTTTCTAGCTGAACATAGTTTTAAGAAAACAACTCCCTTCATTCAGACACGTTACCTGCCATGTGGCGAATGGTCTTCTTGCAGTATTCTTCAGCCATCGGCACGACCTTCATCATGTCTCTTCCCCACTGCGCAAGGGGTTTCCCTTGTATTGCATACGCCACAAAGAGAGCTGTGCAGAGGGACCCTAGAAAGCCTGGAATTCATAGATAACAATGATTGCCAATACGCTGTCTGTGCTTTTAACATCCTTGTCATGTCCTTTGTAAAATCATTAGTGGAATGCCTCATGGCTGTCGGGTAGATTAACAAATGCACATAACCCATCTCTGCCTGTTTGCAGGCTGGCTCATGGCATGTTGAGATTCTTGGCTAATGTGTGGTGCCCGTTGGTTTACAACTTATTTTACGTCGAAGGGAGCTTCTGTTCTCAGTGGTGTAACATGACAGAAGTTGAGGTAGGGGTCAAAAATAAACATAATCCAATAATGTGATACTGAAAATCTTCTAATTGAAGTCACATGAAATAATTGACTTGCACAAAGTGATTCGATTACAAGCTGTATCACCTTGCTTACAGAGTCATCCAGCTCAAGTGCCGTGGCTGTCAGGACTAACACTATTTCTAGCTCATTTTACTCTAAGGAGTCGACTCCATGTCTTGGACAATTGTTTGGACAAGTCCATGTCCCCTTCTTTCCTCTAAAGGGACAAGTCCATGTGCCCTTAGAGAAAAGAAGCGGTTGTCCAACTAGGACATGCTGGTCTGCCTGCCTAGCCAGGTCTTCCACTTTGGATAGTAATATACTTAAGATGAACTTTCATTAATGGGCACTCAACACTTCCATGATGTCAGAAACAGGGGGGCTCTTTTCTCATATTTGCTTGTGCTGTTGGCATTCTGTCAAGTGATACAAAACTGACCCAATGCAACATGCAACAGAAGGTTAAGAAAACAACTCAAGTCATTTAAATAAGCCCCAGGTGAGCAAAGTATTGACGCGTGTGCTTCTCTCAGTGCATGGGTCCAAAAGTGTTCACTCATGCATAGAGGTAAGCATGAACTTTGTGTGTTTTGCTGAAGGTAAAACCAAATTATTTTAGGAGGTTACAAGTCCAGATGAGACGATTACTCATTCTCTCTGCCATAAGACCTGCAATACTGGGTCAGGCCAAAGGCACGTCTAACCCAGAATCCAATAGATGCTTTCAGAAAGAATAAAAAACCAGCTCAAAGGGTCTCACTCGGATAGACAGCACCTAACCCAACTGCCATAAAGGTCCTTGAGTGCCAC